AATGCCAAAAGGAGATCTTTGCAGAAACCGTTTTTCAGCACAGAGACAGTATATGGCATTGGGAGACCATTTCCATCACCAGAAAACACTGTCACTGTCATTGTCCTAGTGATAGTCGAAGGTAGTGGCAATGATAGATACATGAACGGGTCAAAAGTAATTGAAATTTTGCTGCAAACTGGGCAAACCAGCGTTGACTTATATTGACCCTGAAAGGCAAAAGCATTATAAACAATATACCAATTGTTAGTAAGATGGGGAAACTTAGCCTACATTTCCATGGTCAGAAACTTGAAGTTGTGTATTATTGACATGTAAGATGAACGAAAACAATGACATAAGCATGGGACAAATTAAACATGGAACCTCAAAGGCACTAGGCCCCTATAGTCTGCAAGAAATGCCCAAATCTTAGATGAGTAATTGTATTTGCCGTGTAATAAAAACCCTGATACCAGTCTGCATTTTCAAAATAATTTTAAGGAGGACTATCATAGCAGCTCCAAATCAAAACATGCAGGCAGCATAAGAAAATTTCTCACTTGGCAAACATCCACAATCACTGAGTCATTCCGGGCCTTGTGATTTCTCCAACATTCAGCTGCAACTTCCTCATCAGGACGACCATCAGAATCCTTCATTTCAATATAAGGTTTTTGTTTGACCCTATTCAAGTCTTCATGCAGCCCATCCAGTAAGAAAGCCAAAAGTTCCTAAGAAAAGATGCTCCATCATTAGATTAAGCATAAAGAAAATTAAAATATTAGATGTACCCCTAAATAGTTATACCTCTAGATACCATAAAAACAACATTCTAAGTCATTCTTAAGTTGTAATATGCAAAAGGTCCATACTAAGCCTTGGAAACCAAAGTTATAGGTCAAAGATTAAAGCTTAGGATCCTTCAAACATACATATACTAGACCATTATAAGAGTGGTGAAGACTAAAATATCTCTCCCCATCCATACAGCATCTTCCCCAGAATTTTGAGACCATAGAGCATTTTGCTAATCGATCATACATTCACTAACTGAGCATGCCATATTAGGATTAGTTTAGAAGTATTAAAATTGCAATTGTAAGTCAAACTATGAATCCTATTTGTTATTTTTCAAATGTTTAATGCTCATCACTTTCTTTCCAGCTTAGTATTGTTGAGGTAAACATACTCTAATAACATAATGACCACTAATTTATACAAGTTACCCAATTGCCAACTTCGCAGAAGAATAGAGTATCTATACATCAGACAGCACTTACTTGAGAATCATGCTGGTTATAACCACTAAACTGGGGTGCAAACCGAGCAAGTTTTCCCTTAAATGCACGTGGAGCAATTGCAATTCTACCTGAGGACCATGATTTTCGTAACAACTCACCAAATGCAAGTGCAAGCTCCCCCTGCACAAGTACAACTTAAGTTGGAGATTTTACGAAGTGCTCAAAACGAGGTGTCAAAACTGTTCAAATGAACAATTCACATTAAACTACAAAAACAAAATTGTAGATAGCACCAAAGATTACATGCATTCCCAAAGGATTTTCTGTGTTGATCTCATCACTGTAATCTTTCAAGAAATACTCAACAAGAGGAGGCGTGTGCACTAAACATTGAAGAGCACTATTCATAAAACAAGTATTTCCTAGGTTCTGTAATCCAGCCAAACCTCCCTTCTCTCCTTTTCTAACAGAGTTATAGGCATCGAAACCATCATCTATATCATTTGACCCAGAGCTTAAGGAACTTCCTGGATACAAATTCGATCTGTAACCTGAGGAGTGACCATTGGACATGGTTGGCCCCCCAGCAATTGTCAAGGATGATCTTGAAGGTTCCAAGGAAACCAAAGCTAGTTCATTTCCTGTAGAATCCATCCCAAATCTTGAAGAATGATTTCCATCAACTTGCTCCAGAAGAATCTGTAAAGTTCAATCAAACATGCAGATGAATCAAAACCAATTAGAAGTCGAAACAGAGAAGGGCAAAACAAAAAGATACTCGCATCTTGATCCATTTGCAAGTTTGATTCCTCCACGCTTTTGTTTGAAACAATCAACTGTCCATGCTTTCGCTTGTTGAAATAATCCCAAATGCGAGCCTAGCAATATATAATGAACCAAAACAAGTAATTGAAGTTGACTTAAAGCAAACAAATTTTCATCTAAGATTAGTCTATTAAAGGATACATGCTTAATGGGGAAAAAAAAAAGAACAAAAGAGAGATGCTCGCCTTGTCCTGCTCTATGCCTCTAAGTGCACAGACCTTTTGGAAAAGCACAGCTACAGAAGCCTAAACATGCCATCCAACCAAAGAATAGAAGTGAGGAAAAGGAGGAGTTAGATCCTGCATGGTCTATGCAACAAAAGTGCATATTTTTCAAGGACACTAAAGACCTGAAAATAATACTTCAGAAACCAAAAAGCAATTCCAAAAACATTTAGCAATTGGTTTAAATTGGAATGATTTCCAGTTTCTTCATAGATTTCAAAACTTACAATGAACTGACATCAATACTAGAAGCCGTACCTTTCTGCTTATCCATAAAATTGACTGACTTTCATCCCTGGAATCTATCAACTTAAGACAAAGTGGGTAAACCTCTACATCAAACTTTCTGTGATAAACACCCTGCAAAATCATCTTTCTTGGCAATGCTGGCCCTCCTTTATACCTAAAAAGAAATAGAATGATATATTAAAAAAGGTAACAAATTTTACCAGATATCTTATTAAATAAGTACAGCAAAGACAGATACATTCAAGTGTACAACATATAATCAAGTCACTCGTGTACACTGCTTTAACCAGGGAGGAATTATTAATTGACCCTGGTGGCAGAAAATGTCTCAGCACATTTATTTGTATGTTTATCCTTTTTATTGACATAACCCACAAAATCTCACGATTAACATTAAATAACCTAAAATTGATGACTACCAAAAGAGGCTTATAACTCTTTCAGAGCCCTTCATTCAAGTAGTTTGATAACTAACTCAATAAACTATCGACTGACCAAAGCATGGACCATATACATTCTAGATATGAAAGAAAAAAATAGCCAGAAGTGAAGCATTACCATTCATGAAGTTTTTCCCAAACTCCTTGTGGTACCAAAACATAATCCTGCCCTTCCATCAACAGTCTCCGCAGCTGTATCTCATTTTCCTTGCAATCACAATCACTTCCATTTTGAACAATATCAGAGTTATCGATAGGACCGGGCCTTTCTGCGACCACGGAAGAAGCCCCATTCCATTGCCGAGAATCAGAAGATTGGTTCCCAATCAAATTGTCATCAGCGTCTATCCCAACATACCTCTCCCACATCCGAAACCACCTGACCAAAAAAAAACCCCAAATTATACAGTAAATTAGAAATCCTAAGTTAAGATTAGGAAATTAAGTTTAGTTTTAATTGAATATTGGCATAGAATTTGCATATTCAAAAATCAAATGCATATTCCTTGCCCATTCTCCAAACAACCAGAAAAAATAAAAGTTAAAATTCATTTCAAACAAACCTGCTGGAAATAACAAAATACAAGTTGCCTTCTTTCAAATTACGCTCGGATTCGTTTCTTAAATCATTAACGATCTTTTTTTCTTCCTCGGGCGTGCACGGCAAGCAACTCGCCCCGTTCTCCATCATGAATCCCGAGTCCGGAATCGTCATGATCGATGAATCACTACCCTACACAATCAACCAAACACAAATTCTTTCAAAAACCAGAAAGAAGAAAAGATTCATCAAAACTCCAATCCAGAAATCAAACAGATTTGAATCACCTACAGAGATCAGAATCAGAGCAGACAATAGCTTGTTCGTCGACGAGAGAATGTACCGAAATTGGGAGAGACAATTTGAAAAAAAAAATAAAAAAGAAAGAAAAGGGGAAGATGGAATATTCGAGGGAACCCTAAACAGGTCGGGGCGGAAGGGAGGGAGAGAGGGGTTTGGGATTGGAGTAAATTGGAGAAGGCAACTTAAACTTACCGTCTTTTCAACGATCTTGTCTTTTCTCAACTTTAAGTCACGCACCCTTTTATAGGCCTCCACGATACAACGACAAATAACCCGAATCATACTTAAATTTGAATTATTATATATATTTCTTTTCTTTTCTCTATTTACTGTTTTTAACCTCCTTTTTCCCTCGTTTTTCTTTTTCAATCGGAACATGCCAATGACCGCTCGTACCTTAAACACCGGTTTTATTGCAAAGATTTCTTTTCTTTTTTTTTTTAACCTTGCAGCAATTTCGTGAGGAAAAAGAATGCGTTTAAATTAACATTAAATTTTGATTTCTCCTCTTAACAATTTGATGACTCATTTATTTTTACGTAATCCATCTCGTGGAATGTGAGTGATTTAATATTCAATTATTATTACTAGTAATAATATTTTTATCCAATATGATAATTAATGATTATTATTATTATTATTATTATTATACTATATAAATACAAGTCCAGGGTCAAAGTAAAATCTACTTGCCTTTTTAAGTAATGGTAATATAATACTAAAATTATTACAATGAAATATGAAAGAGCACTCAAATCTTCTTTATTGATAACCGTTTTATCTCCAATCAATATTTCTTGTTGCGGGAAATTAAATATTTATTTTATTTTATTCATGCTTTGATTTGCATTTAAAACAACCACAAATCTTTTTTTTTTTCTGGGAACAGGATCTATTTTTATAACTTAAGAATGAAACAAAGTGAAAATGGACGTTTTGATGACTGTACCATGAAGAACACATTTGAACTATCGTTGAGAATTTTACCTTTGCTTCCATAAATATATATTCCTTGGTACAACTTGGGATACAAAATAAAGGAATGGATAAGCGATTATTGTTCCACCCATCCAACCAAACTGATTCGCAACCCAACGCATCAAGCAAAATATATGATGATCGGTTGAATTCAAAAACCCAAAATTGTAACTTACAATAGATCTGATGTAATATGTATGGTGGCTTTGTTCATTAGTTTCGTGAATGTAATACTATATATTAAGGTTTGTTCGTCGAAATATTTAAGTGGAGACAAAATTAAAACTTTTCTTAAAAGTCGGGGCAGCCACGTAATACTACCAAAAAATCCGTCTATGTGTATGTACACGAATATTACATTTTCCAATTAGACCACAGACCGGCACTACCATCCAGCAACTCTTCAAAGCCAATAGTGAATCGCCATTGCCGCTAAAAGGAAAGTGGTCGCTACATGCAGAGACTCATCCCAGAAGATGAGCGCATGGAAGATAGACTCGCTATCAGAAAAACACAAGAGCACTGTCCAAAAGTTAAAACTGGGGAGCCCATTTCTTCATCTTGGGAAGCCAGACAGTCCTCAAGTTACATGGTCCCTATCTCGTCTGAGCTGGCTGAGGCCTCGCTCCCTGCTGGGCAAGCTCCGCCTCCTTGGATCTCATCCTCGCTGAACATGCTCTCCTCACTGGAATTAGAGAAGGGCCCAGCATCATCCTCGCTGAAATCTACCTTCCTTCTCCTTTGGACATCTTTTATTCCTCTTCCTTGCAAAGCCAGTCGCCTTCGCTTCCTTGCTTTCCTTTTGCCCTTGGGAAACTCTTCTTTCTGTGACTCGAGGCTTTTGCTTTCTACCTCCTTAGTAGTTCTTCCTTTGCTGTATTCATTATCCTCTGACTCTTCAGCATCAGCCTTGCGCCTTTTCCTACTTGAATTAGTCTGTACAGAATAATGTGATTTTGATCATTAGTTAACATCCAGCAATGATAAAATTCATTAAAATTTACAAGTCAAGAACTGTGAAATTATGGAAAGAAAAGGAAAAATAAAAACAAACTAAAAGCTAATTCCAAGTAAAAGGTACAGCATACAGAAAAACTGAATTATTGTGCAGGTGATATTTAACCACTACAAGCCCTGTAAAATTCTTTTCCCTTGTCTTTGCTACCTACTCCTTTCCTATCAGTTTTTGTTATTTTTACACAACTTTTGGCTTCATATTTGGGTAATTATCACTAACAACTGCTTACCAATGCTGGCATCAAAAGGCAACACATCAAACCTCATAAGAGAGATCAAGCAAAATACTTTACAATACTCAATCGCAGCAAGGCAATTGTCATGCCAATAGATGACATAAGCTTTAGACTTGACACTAATGATTCAAATTTGCTATAAGCATGCCGCATGATTGCATCAATTTCTTTCCTTTTTATTCACTAATATTTCTGATCTTCATTGGCTAAACTGAAAAGTGCAAGAAACAACAATCCACACTGACAAAATTGCAAGACATGCAGCAAATTATGATCATTAATCACAAAAGAAAGGTCACAGAAGACTGGTTTTACGGTTTTGGGTCTCATAAGGAATTTTCCTACTTGAAGTCCCATCCCTTATTCCCTCAGCAGAACACAGTGCACAAGCAAAGTAGTAAAAGATGCTCAGCCTACGGGCATACCTTGGGGCCACGATCAACCAACTGAGCCCATTCTTGTCGATTTCTTAGGCAATCAAGAACAGCTTGAGAATGACTAGAATATGCATAGCGCTCTCCATTATGTTTCCTCAAGTTAGGCCAGTGCTAGAACAAAAGCAGGACGAAAGAGAATGAGAAGCAATATTTCTCCTCTACAAGTACTACAAGGGATAAAAACAAAAAAGAAAGAAAGATGGCATAAGGCAAACAATAGGCACTCTGCCTGACAGAAGCAACATACCGGCAGGACTGCATTGCATAGTTCTTCATATGTCATTCGCCTGCCTTTGCTCATAATCTCATTTATCAAGCCTGAAAACATGAGGAAGAATATTACAAATGGCTAATTGGAGGGTAAACAAACAAACATGAGATTGGTCCTAATTCAGGAAATTTTTGTACAATTAGACTTCCTTGAGAGGCAATTACCAGGTAGAGTACGAGGTGCAGAACCACGAACTATGCCTGTGTCATCATCAGATATATTCCTCGGTGAACTGCGTATAGATGACAAAGTTTGGTCATTGGCTTCAGTGGAAGAAGAAGGGCCACTGTTTGTGGTTGTGGTGGGTGCAGGCAGGACATTCTTGTCATCACTTTTAACAGAAGCATCCATGGCAGATCCAGTATCTTGTCTCTGATCAGGTGAAAGTAGCGCTTTGTCAGTCCTTTTAGCCTCATCATCAGGCTCACGAGAACCACGTGACCCATCTTTAGATGCATCCTTGTTTTTTCTTCTAGAAACCTACAAATGAATTAAGGACCACTCATCAAAGCTGCACCTTGTTAAAAACATCTGGTACGAATGCAACTAATACTTAAAACAGGAATGCAAGTTGGCACAAAAATGTCAGATAAGGAAGTTCAAAATATTACCACACTGTGATCCTTTCCTCCAGAGCTAGATGTGCGCTTTATTAGCATACTTGTTGCAGTTGGAGATGCCAGCTGTGGAAAGCTACCAGTGTGCCGCACACGTGGAACACGAGGTACTCTTGGTGAACTATTAAGTTCTTGATGCAAAAGTAAAGCAAGCTGAAAATGAGGAAGTAAAGAGGGAGAATAAATTTGTCAATGGAAGCTGCTTAAAATAAAAAGAAAAAAAATAAAAAGAGAAAGAATAATAAAATATTTTATTAGAAGATAGCACTTGATCTCACACCTCTTCATCACTCAGAGTAGGGGAATTTGATGTTGCAAAAGGATGTGCTGATGTTGCATGAGTAACCTTGGATGCTGGCTGGGTACTTGAATGATTTAACTTTTCACCTTTCTGGAGGAAACCTGAAGCTGATGTCTTATTTTGTTGAACATGTGAAGCAGAATGACTTTGCATTGACCCGGCAGGCTCACCAGAGACTGAGGTAACTGAAGTATTCTGCACCAAAGATGCCTTTGAAGATGAGGAAGGCACAGAATCTTTAGATTCAGATATAGTTCTCCTAGAAATGGAAGCATGTGAAATCCTGCTTTGGTGTGACACTTTTGAAGCAGAACCAAAAGAGGATTTGGGACGCTCTTTCGCTGTCTTCCGTGATATGTCATGCCTGTCTTCATCCTTGGGTACATCACTTGCAGCATGATCTTTCTTAATGCTTGCATTATTGTCAGAAATTACTCGTTGCTTAGTGTTAGGATTGGAATTCTGAGAATCTGCAGGTTTAGAGTTATCAGGAATAGATGACATGGGGTTTATGGCAGCAGATGACGTGGAAGATGGCTTTCCAACACATACTACCATTTTATGCTGGATAGACTGTTCTTCAGAGGTTAACACATTTCCACTTAATTTAAGCTCTTCGGCAGATCCAGGAACAAGCTTGGATTCTGAAGAACTTTTCTGCACCGGCTCAGGAACTTCTGAACCCTCCAAATCACATTTTAGCAAAGAACAATCACCAGACATTTCGTTAGCTTTATCAGAATGACAGTCAGCAACCACTTCTGACACAATGACCTTTTCCTTACCGTCAGAAGATTGTGAACTGCCTCCAACCACATCATTCATTTGGGAAGTTTCTGATGTCTGATGGGAAGATATCCCTGTGTCTTTAGTATCATCATGAGAAGAAGATTGAGCAGTTAAGACAACCTTAGAACCATCATCATGATTCATTTCTTTTTTCACCTCAATATCAGGTTTAACTAAAACATGAGGCATGCTCCCATTAGAATCTTTAACAATCTTATTGCCCTGAACTCCCAGGGCAGGATTAGCCAAATCATCAACTGGATGCTCCTGAAGACTTGTAGAACCTTCTACACCACCATCTACTTTGTCAATTGTCATGCTATCACCCTATTGCCAAAATATAAAAAGATTACCAAAAATAAGGAGTGAAACAAAAAGCATATCAGAAATGCTTGTCATATACACCGCCTCTACCATTTTACACACAAAAACATGTCAAGGATTGCATGTGAACTGCACATAAAACTAGTTGTCAACAGCAACATTTTGATGTAAGATGTAACATTCCAAAATTTTACCATGATATTAAAATTTAGAGAACAAGGATAGATACATCTGAAACCAGCCTCCAACTATGACAAGGCAAACTAACAATGTGGCACCATAATTTTTCAATGAAACTAATACAATGAAGCTATAACTTCTTTAAGTTATAGCATTTTTGTATTTCACATCAAGATCTCTCAGGTTGATGTTTTATATGTGATTGGAAGTTCTCTAAGCATGGTCCACTACTGTACTTTGATATTTTCCAATGTAGGTATGCCTGCAAACCATGAATAGGCATATATTCTTTAACCAACAAAAACCTTTTTGAGCTAGTTTGCTTTAGTAATTTGTGAAAGTTTCCTCCCCTGCATGATGGCCTTGGCTACCCTTTCTAAGCAGCTTGCCCGTGTCTATTGTCACAGTGTTCCCTAGATCCAAAGCAAAACCTATTTACCAAGAAGCTGAGGTTCGACCTACTACACCATTTTAAGGCAATTGCTTTTGATTTCACATGACCCGACATCATCACAGACTTGCTTCTAGAAGATTATAGATTGTAGAGATTGTGTTAGTCCTTGTGACATCAACTAACAGAGCTTCATTTCTTTTCTGCTAGATAAATTTTTTTTAAAAAAAAAAATTACAACAGATAAAACTACAAAAAAATTTTCCATCCAGGGTACCGATAAATGAAAGACATAACAAAGATACCTCTTCTTTAACAGGAGTTATCCCAGGATCTTTGTGCTCTAATGGCAATGCAACAACATCTTCTGTTGTAGGAGAGCTCTTCATAGCTGCGGGAATTTGGTGGTCAACCTTCTCCTCCTTCAGATCAAATCTAATTGAAAAATCATGTCCAGACATGCTAGAAGTTGAGGCCTCTGAAGCACGCTCCTTTGACACTAAGTTTTTCTGAGGCCTTTCAACCGCATGGTTCAATGCAACATTACCATCCGATGTGGGTTCTTGAAGGACACTGTCCCTCAAATTTTTGTTCTTTACACTCTGAACATCTGTCTTGAAGGACTTCGAACCTCTGTCTTCATAAAATTCCAATTGTTTTGCATCACTGCTGGGCCTAATCACTAGTAATAAGAATGCAAACAAAAACAAAAACAACAAAAAAACCTGGAGTCAACATGCATATGCCAACTTTGGTAAAGATGAGACTCACCATTTCCGTTCATTTCAATAATATGAAACGTGTGTTCTTGACAAATAACTACAGTTCTCATGATAACAAGATAATTTTAATCTCTGCATGTGTATATATTGTACAGCAATAAATTGCATTGAAAAGTAAGTTAAATAACCTGTTTTATTGGATTGAGCAGCTCTCTTCTTCTCATAAGCCTCTTTCTCAGCAGCACTTCTAGACTTCTTCTTTGCACTCCTATCTTTGGATGCCCCAAGCTCGTCTTTCTTCCGCTTACTGGAGGGTATCACAACAGGCTGAAGTACACTCCTATCCTTCCTTGCCCCATTCTGCCAACGTTTTCCATCCAAATCCTCACCCTCACTCTTCTTCCCTTCCTTTAAGCCTTCCTTCATAGGATAAATCGGAGCGCCAAATACCCTCTCCTTAGACAAAGAAATCAGAACTCCGGCACCATTATCAACCAGATTCCCATTCTCATTCTCATTTTGCTTACCATTTTTATTATCATCGTCTTTCTTTTCATCCCAACACGGGAACTCCCTATACTGGAAATTGAATTTTTTAGGCACATACCCTGTACACTTCCACAACTCCGGCGTAAAAACCCCGGACAAACCTCCAAACAAACCCAGCTCCCCTCCAGGAACCCCTTGAACATGGACACGCTCTTCCATGGGAATATCAGTCCAAAGCCTGAAGGGCCGCCGAGGAGGCACATGACCAACATAACTACTCTCTATCCTAACCGTTTTTGTCGGCAATTCAATGAGCAATTGTGCAACCTCTTTCTCCTCACTGTCGTTACGGTTACTCTTGCTCTTGCACTTGTCGCAGGCAAACAACTCTTCTGCCTTGGTGTAACGCGAGCAGCGCGTGTGCACCCACACGCCGCACTCATCACACTTCACCATCTCTTCACCGTCATCGAAATTAACGCCGCAGACGCAGTCCACGGTCCATGAACCGTCTCCCCAGTCGTCATGGGGGTCAGCCCGATGCGTACGGCCTTTCATACTTATAATCCTAAACCCTAATTAAAATAAATTTAAAAGACCTAACCTGAAATTCCTAAATTTCTAACCCCCGCAATTCACATTGAATTAAAAGTGTTCTGCTAATTTAACAGCTCTTCCTCTCTCTTTTTTCCGAAATTGAATTGAAATTGAAGAATGAGTACCTGGAAGCATAATAATTCTTCGTTGTTACGCTGATTTATGGGACTCCCTCGGTGTCCGCAGGGGGCGACGAGTATGGCTTCGTCCTTGCGCACGAACGGACCGGAACTCAAAGGGAACGAAATAAAAACCAGAACTACGAATTCTTTTGGCGTCCGTCTCTTTCTTTCCTCAGCGGCTCGGCTTCAAAATATCCAAGCCCTTTTTCAATTGTGGCCCGAGCCCATCCAGCCTATGACCCAGCGTCGGAAGGCTTTTTTAATTCACGAGTGAATTATATTTTATTTACTTTTTTTAAGTATATCTGATTAATTGAGTAGTTTAACTATGAAATTTAGCATAATACATACAAATATTTTTAATTATTTAAAAAAGTTTAAATAAAATTTTATATTTTTATTATATTTAATTAAATTTTTATATTTTTATTTTTAATCAAATAATTTTTTATTTTAAATTAAATAAATTCTTATAATTAATAATTGATTTAATCAAAATTTTATTTGTCATTTGTGTCACATGATACTAACGTAACATACTAACATATTATAATTGATGATTATATGATATGTTAATTTTATATAATAGTATAATCATGTGACATTTTCACCATTTATATCAATCTTATGTCAATGTTATATACATATAAAATGACAAATGATATTTTTACTAATGTTAATTAATTCATAATCAGTCATAACTCTTAAGAGCTTATTTTACTTAAAATATAAGTACAAGAATCTTATTGAACATTATAAAATAATAAAAACTTATTTAAATATTTTTAAATAATTTAGAGACTTAGTTAAACATTTTATATCATAATTTTTTTTATTGAATGAAATTTCTTGATATTATTACAAATTGATTCCATTACCAAACTTTATTATGATAAATATAATTGTGAAGTATTTCATATTTGTAAATAAAATCCTTGACTAGCATGAGGTAAATAAAAAATTTTGCATTATAATAATTGTTTACCATTTCATATTTGCAAAATAATAACTTGTAAATTTAAATAAAACAAATTATCTTAGCTTAACAAGGAAAGTGTTTAATATTTAACAAGACGCTGCAAGTTTTGATTCTGTTGAATTGTATTTTTTCAACAATTTTAAAGTCCAATAATTATGTTAATTAGGAAGAAATTATGACTAAATCGAATTGAATTAGTCATTTTTTATTGAATTAACTCATTTAATAAAACTTTATCAATTAAATCAATTTTAACTAATAATGATTTAAAATTTTTAACATATAATAGTTGACCTTCATTGCTTTACCTACTTTTCAACTTGTGTTTGCTTAGTGATAACTCATTGTTTCTCTTTTTTTTTTTTTTTTGAGGTAGCCTCGAAGAAAGATATTTAAATGTTTTCTTAGGTTTGTTGTCTAATTAAGGACTGTGTTGACCGAGAATATTTAAGTTGTATTTGTTTAATTTATTTTTCTTCTATTTGCACGAACACATTTAAATGTTCATTAAAAAATAAACCATACGTTTTTTTTACTATTTAATAGTATCTATTTTTTGCATGTTCACTCGTGTAGAAGACGTGGCATGTCAATTTTCATATCCGAATATTCGCCCGGTGAATGAACAAATATTTCCACATGGATCATGCCTAAATTATTATAATTAATAATTATGCTTTACTGTTTTCTCTTTTTTTTTCTGTTTTCTTATAAGTAATAAAATATGATATGAATGCTGTCGATGATGCTGCAATTATATATGCAATTGAGTTAGTGAAATTCTATGGATTATGAGTAAGTGCAAACTCATTACCTACAAGTCAATATTTTGAATAACTATTCAAATATTTTAAAAAAAAATACTCTTGGAGTGATTATGTTTGGTAAATGTTTGAGATATTAATACAATACTAAAATTACTATAGGAATTTACATATTTGACTTTAAATAAATAGTACTCAATTTCCTATATAGGATATACTTCATGCCTTATTATATTCCTTAATATTAAAGAAAAAAGAAAAAAATGAAGTTTTATGTAGGGTATTTTTTTCCATCTACTACGTTCAAGGAAGGAAGTTCAAAATCGCAGGCGCTCGTTGCCAAATCCAAGTCAACATTCGCTTCATGCCACGGTTGGCAAATTGGCTACTCCGACAATTACTTGAAATTTACCAAAACGCCCCTCATCGACCGGTCCAGTTGTCCTTTAGTTTCAGGTCACCAGTACGGAGAGACAGGTACAGCGGTAAAACCAGCGACAGTAACTCAGTGGTGGTAAACAGTAAACAGTCCATAGGCAATAGTCACCCGACATGTCATAGTAAGAGACATGATGGGATGTGGCAAAACATCATAGTACATACATGCATCCGAATGTCATGTCATACATGGATATGTAAGAACAAGAAAGAATTTACTTTGGAATTTTTTTTTTAGGTTTGTACATTTCAACAAACAAGCCAAAACCCTTTTTCTTTCTTTCTTTTTTTTTTAAAATAAGCTTAGCGTTTTGTTGGAAGCCATTATATATATTTTTTACTTATTTAGGACGATGTGAAGCAGGTCCTCTTGGGTCTCTCTCTCGCTTTTCCCTCCCTCGGATAATCACTGTGAAACAGTGGTAGAAAAAGAAAAAAAAGGAAAAGAAGGAAAAGGAAAAAGAATTACAGACACTGTAAGAAATGAAAAATCTGGCTTTTTTTTTTGACTATCTTATTTTGTTTTGCTGTTATTTATTTCCATTTCGTTTTCTCCGTAGTGATCTCGAGGTGGGTTTGTAGTTTTGTTCGTCATCAATGGAGATGATTGTAGCTTTAGCTTAGCTTCCAAAGAGATTCATCATTTTTATATTCCCAACATTTCAAAACTCGATTTTTTTATTTTTCTTTTTTTTTTGATGTTTGGGTTTATAAATTTCAGGGCTTTTTGTTGATCAGTTGATAAAAAAAGGTAGTTTTTTTTAGGAATAATCAACAGGCCATGGCGGTTGTTGAGAATGCTTCGAATCAAGATGCGGCTGCAGCAGCAGTAGCATCAAACGATCAGGATCAGTCAAAGCAAAACCATGTTCGGTCAAGAATCGATCCGAGCTTACACCAGAACGATCAGGGGTTGTACAACAAGATCGGTGGTCCCCATCATCGATCCAACGGCGGGGATTTGCAGAGGAGCAATGGTGGTGGTGGTGATGAAGTTGGGGATAGCTTCAAGAGAGATATGAGAGAGTTGCAGGAACTATTCTCTAAACTTAACCCCATGGCTGAAGAGTTCGTGCCTCATTCACTTGCCAACCATGGACTTAATGGAGGGTTTTACACTGACAACTCTTTTTTGCATAACAACAATAACATCACAAGGAATGGCCATGCTAATGGCAATGGTGCTGGTAGACGGGTATTCTACCAAAACCCCATTTTTTGATTGATTGCTTTGTTTAATATTAAGTGAGGATTATTAGTCATGTTGGTGGAAAATTTAGAAAAGGAGAAAACGAAATTAATTTGTTTCAGTTTTGGCAGATGAAGATTTTCAAGGTTCAAGAATTTTTTTTTAAATAGCTTTCTGTTTTTGTTATTGTCCACGTGTCCTCACTGATGCTTGAGTGTATTTTTCAGAAGGAAATTTTTATTACATCCAACCTTCATTTGTTTCAATCTTTGCTTTATTTATTGCCTCTTGCTTTGTAGGGTTGGTTCTTCTTATAGGTTTTTTTTGGGGTTTCAAAATTCACTGGGCAATAACTTAAAACTGATTTATCTGAGTTTGTGAGGTACTCCCTTCTATCTAGTATCCCAAGTTGGTGTTTGGATGTGCAGTAACTATGCCATTTCTCTGCTTGCTCCAAAATGCAGAAAAAGGAAAGGAAAAGGAGAAACAAGGGTTTTTATTCTTATGTTAGGATGCTTAGTTGTCATTGGAATAATTGGAGGAAACCTGATTATTTTATATGGTTAAGTTGAGTGGAGATTATTTTCTATGTGCATTTTAAACAATATGAAATTTAAAATTCCAAATTTAGCAATCTCTCATTTAAATCATCTCAATTGTGGAAAAGAGCATCATCTGTTCATTGACGGTTGTCTTTCTCAGAAGAAAAATTTCAGTCAAGGGAAACGGAGATTGAACAGCAGGACAAGTATGGCCCAGAGGGAAGAGATTATCCGTAGGACTGTCTATGTTTCTGATATTGACCAACAGGTATACATTCAGCATTTTGCGCTTTGTTTAGTATCCCACAATCAATTCTGCAATTTCTGTTTTAACATCTCTTTGGTATTTAGATTCATGTAGTCTTTTGCCTGTTGGGATGTAGGTCACTGAAGAGCAGCTTGCAGGTTTATTTGTGAGTTGTGGGCAGGTGATATTGTTTTCATTGCTTATCTTGATGGTTATCTTCAAAACAAGTATCTGAGTGAAGTTCTTTCCTTATGTAGGTGGTTGACTGCCGCATATGTGGCGATCCTAATTCTGTACTACGTTTTGCCTTTATTGAGTTCACTGATGAAGGTGATATTCAACAATGGTCTTTGGTGCATAGTTTAGGGTGATTGTCAATCTAACTATAAAATGTGATATTTACTTGCTTTTTACTGTTTGATGGTTTGGCTGTGCAGACGGTGCACGGGCTGCTCTGAATCTGGCAGGGACTATGCTTGGATTCTACCCAGTTAGGGTGCTGCCTTCGAAAACAGCTATAGCACCAGTTAACCCAACATTTTTGCCGAGGGTGAGGCTCATCGTGGCAATTTATCATACTGGAACTTGTTGATAAGTTGTAGTCTTTCATGCATTTTTTATTTCCTTCACCTATTCAGCCTGTTAAATATCTGTTATTTTGATTTCAGAATGAAGATGAACGCCAGATGTGTGCAAGAACTATCTACTGTACAAACATTGACAAGAAGGTGAGAAGCTTTCGCATTTTGGCAATGTTCATTATGAACAGTTATCCTGATTGCAGAGTAAGGACCCTTTACAAGTATTATATGATTTTGCACTCTGCAGGTTACTCAAGCTGATGTTAAACTCTTTTTTGAAACAGTTTGTGGGGAGGTATGTTATTCCATTAACTCCAGAGTTTTGTTTCTTCTGTTTATTACATCAAAAACCTGTTTAGGGATGCATTTAAAGGGACATCTTCTCTAATGTAGGTATACCGCCTGAGGTTGCTGGGGGACTATCACCATTCAACTCGCATTGCTTTTGTTGAGTTTGTAATGGTAATTGCTTCTTCCTCTTCATTCATGTACATTTTTTGAACATGGCTGAACAGGTTTTCTATGGTTTCTGAAGGGTTTGATGTGGTAAATGAGGGCTTTTCACATCTTCGCATGACTTACTTTTAGATTGGTTTAGGCTAGCCACTGAGTATGAAGCTTGTGTTGACTCTAGGATAATGGGTTTTGTGATCGTTTTCTAAGCTCACATTTTGTAAAAAAGTTCAAGTGCATTTGGTAGGAAGGACGGAGAAAAGGAAAGGCAAGGTAGTGAAAACTAAAGACAGTTCCATTAATTTCCATCTTGGGGAGTTATTGTTAAAGTTCAGAGAGGAGATGCTTAAAAATTTCTGTGGTGTTTTGGGACATTTATTTCTCCTGAAATTTTTCCTAAATTGAAAAGAAGCTTGAGGCTCTAAGAATGTTCAATGGAGATACTGATGGAAGCAGATTGGAGCAGCTTTTCTTATTCAAATTCACCTTGGAGTTGCTCAAAGTAGTACCAACAATCAGTAAAACCAAATTGATTTGTTAGCATGTTGTCAACAATCGTATCTCAACTAAACTATGACAGGATTCTTAGATTGTTTATCATTTCATCTACTAGTAGTCTTTTGGTCTCATGTAGGAAATTAAAATCAACATTGCATTAGAGCTATTGGCATGGTCTCTTGGATTACCCTGATTTTCTAATTTGCTAATGATGGTTAAGAGAACAATGCTCTAGGCAAGCTAATCTTCTGTGCCAAACTAGTTTGGTGTTTCATTTTCTCTACCTATTCTTGAACAGATGTCTCTTGACTGCTCCATTTCTTTCCTGACAAAATTAAAGGCTCTCTTGGAAGAGAGATTGAGCACAACTCAATGATTGCATGAAAGGATTTAGAGATCTATAAACCGTTAATTGGCTAAATGACATTATTCATCACTAAATCAAGCACGCCAGCTGCATGAATTTGGAATTTTCGTGTCAGTTGGATTCTATTTGGCAGAACAGTTGTAGGCGTACCTTTTCTGGCTTTATCAGCTAGCCTTGACAATCATTGCTCACAAGTTGCATAACAATAGGTTTAATCAAAATTGTTATTTCCGTATTTGATCACTACTTGAAATTGTCTATATGAGATATACACTACTGATAATATCAAACTATTGAGATAGATTTTACAGTTTGTTAGGACTCCAAGCAAGTAAATTTCCATATGATGCATGTTTCTTTAAGTTGATCTCCATGTGGTGTTCTGTCTATTAGGGGTGAACTTTTGTCTATGTCCATTTTCGGCAGACCCTATATACATTTTGGATTATGTCTTTTAGGGCCTGCCAAATATTTGCAATATTAATTATGGATCTCTTGCCATCCTTGGATAAAGTCCTTATTAAATCTTCAGTTGGTGATAGCACAATGGTGTAAGGTGGGGTCAGGTTGTGTGCCATATGCACCTGAAACTTTATTCTTCTCTTGTACTGAGAACTTGCTTATCAATAATTGTAGTCTTCACTCTAGTGTGTCCTTAACGGGTGATGATGCAAAGATTGGCCATTCAGAGCTTTGGTTTAGTTTGCGCTGTTTAAAGCCCAGAGGGAAGTAAGCTTAAATGCAATGATTCAGCTGCTGTATTCTAGTATGGTAGATTTTGCAGCAATTGCACGTATGCTTGTTAGCGTATCAAATTTTTTTGTTTGTAAATAGAGTGATTATTTGCTTAATACTGTAAAATGTGAATAATTGAATAATTGAGGCGGACTTGCTTGCACAGATAAGCTCAAGAATACTTTTGATCAAAAAATGATGTGTTGTTACTATTGAAGGAATTATGTATAGTGGCTTGGATTGGGACACCAAGATTGTTTGCCTCTGGTTACTGAACCTACATTGGCTTATCTGAGCTTTTGAAATGAGCTTAAAGTTTGCAAGTGACACGTAGCTCCCTTTTTGTCACCTCAAGATTGGGTTGCTTCAGTTTACATGAATGAATGAATGAATTTGTAATCTTCTTTTGTTCACATGCAGGCTGAAAGTGCGATTGCTGCTCTCAACTGTAGTGGTGTGGTTCTGGGGTCATTGCCCATAAGGTCGGATTCCTGATTTTTTAATCATTTCTGGAAATGTTGCCATAATTTCTCTCCAAAGAGTGATTTAAGTATTTATGACAATTGTCTTTTAAGTCAACCTCGGTTGTTGTCTATGATCAGGGTAAGCCCATCAAAGACCCCAGTTCGGCCACGTGCTCCTCGCCTTCCCATGCACTGAATCATCTTGGCGCTCCGAACTGATTTTAGTACCAGTTTATATATATTTAAAATACATACACACACCCATGTAAAGATGTTTCCCATGTTGATGGTCTGCCTGTTTTATATATATTGTCATCCTCCGCTGCTATGCCTGGGGGCATTGTTACTATAGGAGTCATCTTTTGTTTATCCTTGCAACTTGCAATACATAGAGTTGGATGGAACTTCGAGGCTTTGAAAGATGTTATGCATTATTGCTCACTAATGTGGATTGGGTCTGTCCCAAAATTAAACTTCTCTTTGCACTTTTTGGTAATTAAAGGCTATATGACTGATGAAGTGGTTCTTTAGTACTTTTGGGTGCTTGGTACTCTGCACGCTTTGGCTAGATGACTACTGGAGATGGCTGCTCTATCACCTTTCCCCCCTCCCCCCTTTAGTCTTAAACTTGTGTATATGATAGTATTTTTCAAACCAGCATTAATTCAAGCTAGGTTGACCTTAATACTGTATTTTTGTGACATTATATGGTATGCCCATAAAATCACATAAGTATCTCTGCTTAAGGCCATGTCAGTTCCTTGTGAATGAATGCATGGTTACACTGTGGAACCCGCTATGTGATAGCTATTTGGTTTCAGAAGGAAAATGCAAGGAATATGCGAACTTGCTTGGTGAAAAATTGGAATTGCTTGCAGATGGCTATAAGTTGTTGGAGAAAGGGATGCTAGAGAATTTAACTCTAGCTTTTGTTTTTAAGATGATTGCTCTGTATACTATTTTCATTGATCATTTGCCAAGGAATGTTGGTGGGAAAGTTTTTCCTATTGAGTTTCTACTAATGCGCTGCAGCAAATGTATTGGGATATCTAAGCTCTCTCTGGAATGTTGTAAGTCGTAACGTCAATTTCCCATGTTAAACTCCTTGATGTTTTTCTTTTTGGGTACACGGGTTGAGCAGGTCCAGCCAAACTTCCTATCTGATCTTGTCAAGCATACACCCGTTAATTCATTGAGAAGAATCAGAAGAACGATTAGACTACGCTTACCATGCAATCATGCGATCTACAGTGTAACATGCATGAAATTTCTTCGCTCCAAGGCGCACAGGATATAACTGGCACGTAAGTTTGTTAAGAAAACTTACAAGATAAACATGTAATTGTAGTGGTGAACAACTATATTATTGCACGGTTGATATATTCTAGTGGTGAACAACCATATTATTGCATAAGGGTTTCCATTATACAAGATAAACATGTAATTGTTGCATGCACGCTATGAGTGATTTGCGAAACAGGGGTTGCCATGTCCAATGGATGCCAGCATTCTGTGAAAAAGCTTAGAGGTGCAAAAGGCATCTAAGTGACTTCCCGTCAACTAGCAGTTGGAAGGCTTCATTTATCTTCTCGAAGGGAAGCTCATGCGTGATAAACTCGTCTAGGTTTAGGGTCTGGAATCAAATTCCGAAACAGATCTCAGCTGCATTGGACTTAAAAAAGAGTCGAGTTTATACAAAGAAAGTAGCCGGGTTTGAGTAACTTACCCCACACATGCATTGTTTAGCAAACATTGGTAGCTGGGTTTTGCCTTTGAAGCCTCCAAAGATCGATCCTATGATTTGACGCCCATTGAATAACTCCATTGGATGCAGAGGCAGCAACATTGGGCTTGGATGAATTCCCAATAGTACAGTCAGTCCCCATCCCTGTGTATCCAAAGTGATGCTCTTGAAATCCATTCACATACAATCTTGTATGGAAGATTTGATTGAAGTTATTAAAAAGAAGGGAAGAAGTTGATTCCTTCTTTTTATAGAAATGGAAACTGGAAAACCCGAGGCAGAGAGTAAGAGAAAAGGCCGTACCGTATGGGTGGACAGAAATGCCTCGCGGAGAACTTCAAGGTTTCCCGCGCACTCAAAGCTGTAGTCTACACCTCCATCGGTCATAGCCCCAATTCTCTGCATTGACCAGTTTCTTTAATATCATTATACTTGGAACTTAATTTTGAGTACAAGAAGTCCTCAGTTCTATCTTCGGTTGTAGCTCACTAACCTCATGCACGGGCACTTCTAGATCCTTTGGGTTAATGAATTCTGTAATTCCCACGGCTTTGCCTTCTCGCACATACACCAATGGACCAACAACATTACAAACCTTGCAACATAATCTACTACTAAGCTTAATTACGATGATACTGCACAGCCATGGGCAGTGGCTTAAGTTGGATTTTTCTAATTTCATAGCTCAGTCTCCATAGTGAAGGAAAATGAACCGGTTGTTTTAATCTGAGTTTTGCCAATCAACAGTTAACAAAGACTCCCAACATATTATCCTGTCATTGAATTTTGAATAGGACTTTGGGGTTACTTTGTCTTCGCATGTACAAGGGTCTCCCCTGTTTTGACATGAAATGAAACAAACTTCCTTTTTGTTTCCATTCTTCTGAGTTGCTTCGAGCAGTAATGTCTCTACAGCAACTGAACCACAGGTTTTTTATGCAGTACAGCCGAATACTATTTAATATTACTGGGGAAAAGTACCTTTGGCAAATTTGCTAGGGTTGATATCAACGCCTATTATTTTTGATGCTCCTCTCGCTCTCGCTCCTTCAGCTACCTGGTTAATACCAATTTTCAATCTAGTATATCAGATACGTTTCCTTCAGCACATGGGATGACAAAGAAGTAATCGCAAGGCGCAACAATATAATAATGTACAGTACGTCAGCACTATGATTTTCTTAAAAAGGCTGCAATAAGATTTTGTTTAGGTTATTAAAAGGTCAACATGTACTTCACGTGCCAAGCAAAACAGAGTTGTGCCCATATCTATTTGGTTGTTTCCAGCTTATCCGGGCTATGGTGCATTGCATGGTCTTAAAATATCAGAAACGTCTAAAAGCTCTATTACTAGTAAAACACGAAGCGTCATAAGCAATCAGGGAACATTGAATGGTTTGAATTCAATGCTCCAGAGCGGTCCAAAAAAACTGAAATTAAACCATTCAATGTTCCAGGGCGGTCCAAATAAACCGTATTGGTAAAATACGTAAGCAAGCTTCATTTACTGGTTCCGTGAAACAGACTTACAGCGAGTCCCACGGCACCCAAACCAAAGATTGCCACCGTTGATCCCGGTTGCAAGTTGGCTACATTCCAAGCAGCTCCAACTCCTTGATCAGGTCAGAAAATCGTACATATTCAGACAAATTTATAGTCAGAATCGTTTAAGAGAATAAAAACGAGGCAAGATTTTTCGGTATTTACCGGTGGAGACGCCGCAACTCAAGAGGCTCATTTTCTCAAGGGGGGCCTCAAAGTCAATCTTCACAACACACGCAGAATCAAGAACAGTGTACTCGCTGAAAGTGGAGGTGTTGAGAAAGTGAAATATGGGATTCCCATCCTTGGTCGAAAACCTTGTCTTGCCATCATTTACCATCACGCTCTTCAATGGATTCACTCCAAACCTTTGGCAGAGATTAGTTTTCTCATTTCTGCAGCAGACACAGTTGCCACATTGTCCTTGGAAGATTGGAATGACATGATCACCCTTTTTCATGTCTTCAACACCTTCACCAACGCTCTCAACGATTCTGGAACACATTCATTCATCATATTAGTAATCTGCTTCAGCTTTCTAAGTATTTTCTAAGGAATGCTTTCACCTGAGAATTAAAATGGAATATTGCCAAAAGCTGGAAATAAAAATCATTAACTTCTTGTCACATACCCTGAAGCTTCATGGCCTAGAATTCGAGGATATGCTCTCTGAGCTTCATTCTTTAAAATATAACCGCAATGGTCAGACAGAGTTGTCACAGAAACTAATCAACAAAGAGGAAATCAAGAGTTAAAAACAATTGATTATTGGGTCTACCTCGCCTTTCCAAGCACTGAGATCCGTGTGACAGATTGAAGTGAAGAGGATTTTGACCCTGACCTCCATCTTTTGAGGGGGAGCGACTTGAACATCTTCCATGACAAGAGGCTGTCCAGGACCCCATGCTACAGCAGCTGCAACCAGGGAAAACCATCAATCTTAGAGAACAGCACAATCAAGGATTAGTCATAAGAGAAATACAGAAACTCAGTCCGTTGCCTTTGCAGGTGATGACTTTCCCCGTTGTGTCAGCCGACTCAAACGAGCTTTCAAAAGATTTATGGTAACCAACATCCATTATCCTCTTAATGAAACGGCTGATATTGCGTCAAGCTTGTATCAAACACTTTCTCAGTGTGTCTTTGATTAGAGTTCTCCGATGAACTTGACCGGCAAGGTTTTGTGATGGTTTGCAACTTGCAAGGATATGGCTATAGACCTAGACTTGCAGAGGGCGGGTGTTTGAAGCTTCTTTCAAGTGTGATATATATAGAGCTCAGACTATTTTATCAATCTCACATGGGCGAAATGATTAAAAAAGGAGAGTAGATGCAAGGAAATTCCTAATCGGTGCTTATGGTTTATTTAATCAAAAGGCATTTCTATGGTCTAGGGATTCAGCATAGTGTACGATTAAACTCGTGGAAAGCAAAAGGGAAACAGGGTTCTCAAAGTCAACATCAAATTTTTAGAAGGACAAAAAGGGGTAGTAAGATATTACTTGGCAAAAAAACAAAAAACGAGTTTTAAAGTCGTTAGATATTATTGTCCAAACAAATAAATTGGAACAGGGGATTTCAATATGGTAGAGATTCTAGCCATCGGGGAGGCGTTCTTTCTATTTTCAGAGTCGCTGGGGCAAATTCTTGCAGCCTTACGGTGGAGAGTGACTCACGAAATGCGATTAAGTGGGTAAATGTACCTTGTCAGGGTCTTTGAAGATTTAGAATATGGGTGTTACATATAGAGGCCTTTAAGAAAAGGTTAAAGATTGGAGAGTTTGTCACATCGTGAGGGAAGGAAACCAAGAGGCCGACGCCTTGGCCAAAGTGGGTGTCAAATGTCAGTAGAGATGAAGACCCCTTGGATCTGTTGTGTTAATGACAGACAACTACCAGTGATAATAATGAATGCGTGGAAGCCGCTCAAAGCCAAGAGGTTCATGTGTGACACCTATGGTAGGGCCGGGTTGGCACTAACTCATGAAAAGGTCGTCTGCTGGTGATAAGATTTTTGGTCATGGAATTATGCTGTGTTTTCTCTTGTTTTTTAATGGTAGGCTACATGTTCTGGTGATTGTATTGAGGCCAGGATCTACGTTGTGCAGATGTATTGTGTCAAAGGCGCACGCGGTTGCTATGAGATGCTGATAGGAAAAGAGGTTTTCTTGATCTCACATGCAACAAATTGTGAAAAGTGAGGTTTCTCTTTTAAAGGTCCCATGTGACGACAATGAGTCCAATGTCTGTGTCAACTAGCACATAATGGTAGTGTTTTTTTGTGGAGCTGATATAGATTAAATGAATTTACCTTCAAAATCAAAGATATCATTAATTAAGAAGAGCTTACTTTGAGACTAGAGCCTAGAAGAAATGGGAAAGGGTAATGGCTTGATGGAAGGATTGAAGGCTGGGCAAAACCCTACAAGTGGCCCCTACCCCTATTGGCCATAACCCAAGCCTGGCGTGAGTTAATTTCCCCGGGCTTAGGTCAATATCAAGGCAAGATTGCTTAACCCAACTAATTGCAGATACAGAAGCCGAAAGCCATACGCAACAGAAGCATTCAGTCTGTGAGACGACAAATTTCTTTTGATCTATTTGAACAAAATTTCCAATTTCCATCGTCCAAAGAAAACTACCAAGTTGTTATCTGGTGGTGAGTGGTCCCCAGCGCATTCATCAGATTCAGTTCCCTGCTTCATACTAGTCTAGAGCCCTTTTTCGCTGACTTTTGGCTCTTAAGTCGGTCTCTTGTTTTCATTTTTTCCTCATAGGGGCAAAAATAAGAATTTCTATGAGGATTGAGGCCAGAAAGCAACCCTCATTATTGAGTTCATACGACAACTCACCATTAATTAATAAATTGACGTCATGAAGGTATCAATTGGCTAGATTTTTTCAATTTTGGAAAATGATAATAAGAATAATTTAAAATTCAGATGCATATTAACGATTTTCAAAAGAAAAATCTTTATGTTGTATAATTAAATCCCTTAATATTGTTTCTTTTCTTTTTTGGGAGGGAGTCAAAGATATGGTCCTCCTTAACCAAAGAAGTCGCTATCTGTATCTCGGGTGATCTCACCCGCTTGGTGGAACACGACAGTTTCAAGTCTGTGTCAGCTTTCAACCTTCAAACGATTGTAAGGTCAAGATCGTCATCTTGGAGTTTAGTCAAACGCGTGCGCCGCCGGCCAGAAGCTGAGAAGTGCCGGGTGTTCCAGGGCATAATGGGACCTCTTTATCATTGCTACGAAGGCAACAAACACCCTTTATCAAAAAAAAAAAAGAACCGAAAAACACATATATCTTTGGATCGTAATCCCTTCATCAAAAAAACGACTGGCCCTTGGCTCCTAGCCTAGATAGCTACGAATTCTCTCATGCGTACAAGAGATTATATGAATTTTCTCACAGCTATTTTTATGCTATATAATGTGTATTAATTATCAATACTTCCTTCCAAATTCCATGTAAAGAGACTATATTTGATGTATTGGTCATATATATCTTTTATGCACAATCAAGTCATTAAAAATATGTTATCTCATTAATAAGATCAAATTAAATATTTTTAACAATTTAATAATCAAGATAAAATATTTTTACTTTTTTAAATTTGAATTGAAATAATACAAAAGTTTATTAATTTTTTAAATAGATATTATGTTTAAATAAAATATTTTTCATTAGATACATAAATTCAATTATTAATTAATTATTAGCAGTTTCTGTCAACTTACTAATATAGTAAAAGTAAAAAAATAATTTTGCTTTTTAATTAATTTTTATAATAATTATTATATAATTTTATTATTTTATTATTAATTTAAAAAAAAGTCCCCAATTTGGGGAACAACAGAGCTCCCCAAGGGAGTTCCGACTGAGCTGCCTAACGGAGCACCGGTGCTTCCCTTTCTGCTCCTTTTGATATAATAATAATTTGTAAATTAATAAAAAATTATTATTTAATCAAAATGATAATGATTGATTTAGTCAAAATTATTCATTATTTTATATCATGTAATACTAATATAATATGTTAACATATTTTAATTGATAAGATGTGATATGTTGATATATCATAATTGATGATCACGTGACATATTAATTTAATATAATAATTTAATCATATGATATATTTTACTTTTTACATCAACATTATGTCAATGTTATGTGAATATAAAATGAGAATTAATATTTTGATTAATAGTTATTAATCAACTATTAATCATAATGACTTATTTGATTCAAAATAAAAATATCAAAACTCGATTGAGCGTAATAAAAAAATAAAAATTTACTTAAATTTTTTTAAATAGTTTGAGAACTTATTTAAATATTTTACTAAATATTTAATTTTATCACATTAATAAAAAGACACGTTTTAATAATTTAATAATTTATAAAAAATAAAAATCATAAACTATCAATACATCAAATATAATTCTTCATAGAAATTACTCTGCCAAATAAGAGGAAAATAACTTTGATTTATTGGACTTTGTGCTCAAAACAAAAAACCAACTTGGGTTTGCTAGGCCAACCCCAAGGCTTTAGGGTGGACCTAAATCGGCCCCAATTTGAGGGGAAGAGAGGGCTCAATAGCCAGGAAATCAGGCTAATTAATATTTAGTTGATATAAATAATTACTTCAATAGACAAACGTAACTTTTGCTCACCAGCACTTCATCGTTTCATTACTTCATGCTTCTTTTTAATTGTATTTATTGAAACTTAACTAATTTGAATAAATCCTTCTTCTATTCTTGGCTTATTCCAAGTCAAAATGTTTCCAATAAATAATTAACCATATTCATTCAATAGGGAAATGTCAAGAAACGCTGCGGTCAATCACTTACGCAAGAAAGATAAAAAAAAAGAAAAGTGGAAAATAATTCGAGGCAAAACCATTTCTGGAACGCCCTGATTCCTTCTAGTCATGCTCTGACGCATGAGAGCCTGATATGCATTAGCACGCGAATACATTTTTAAGCCCAACTTTTTTGCGTAGATTTTTCAACAAAGGGAAATATAATTTTCTTGTCATATATCTGACATATTGTTTCAAACAAATTTAATTATCTCTTTAGTCTTTACAAATTAAACTCAAGTAAAGTTTTATCTTATCCAGATGAATCATGCATTTTGAAATTAGATTAGTTTTGAGCCGTCTAGTTTAGGCCTAGCCTTAGGCTTATCCTTGTCATGTTTATCATTTACAATATTCTAGAGCTTTGAGTTCTCCCATCAGGGAAAGCTGACAATTATTACATAGGAGGGCGCAACAGACCAACGCCATTCCTTTACAATACGTTAATCAAAACTGTGAAGCAATCACTACACTTGTTCGCTCTCTCACATCTCTCTCTAACTAATAAACAATATACCGGCTTTCATCTCTTTATTTTTAAATGCCTTTGCATTCGGGTCCCTCAACCAATCATGGGCAATTGCTTGCCTTCCCGTGATGTATCCGACGGAGAACTATGCACTGAAGAGAAAGCTATGATCAAGCCTGGAAGGGTTTCAAGTCCCCTGGAAACGGATAGCCAGAGCACTACTACAGATTGCAAAAGGCATATGGGCCCCGCCATCACATCTGCTTATCCACAGGACGCTAGGAATGGCGGCAGTAAGAAACTCAGACTGCTTGTAACAAAGCAAGAGCTTGGAGAATTGCTTTCCAGGCGGATGTCAGTAGAAGAAATGCTTGCGGGAGTCCACAGAGAAGGACGGTATAAAGTCGATTTTTGTACGAGGTGGCAGCCACTGCTTGAAACCATCCCCGAGGGAGGTGAGTAGCACTTTCTGTTCCCCTCACTGTCGACCTGGTAAGTTGCTGTCAATACATGTACAGTTCCCAGTTATATATAGAAGGATCGTAGGAATAATAAAAACTCGAATTTTTCTTTGTTTGCCTGGAAATGTACGTGCAAGGCATTCCATCTGTAAGGCTGGGCTTCTGGTAATTGAACATTCATTGATTTTAATGTGTGTAATGGGTTGAATAAATAATCTAATGATCCACATATTCTACGGTTATACCCGATTTATTTTTGTTTTATGTGTTGATATACTCTTATTGAGTAAGTTAATATAAGTCCACTCGTGTGTAAATATTAAATTACTAGTTTTCCATTATGGGAAGGCCAGTTGGACATAATATTTAACTAGATTAGACACCTTTTTTCACTTTGAGCCCTAATTTAGATTAATTTGTGGCATTAAGAGCCGCCTCTTGTCCTGGAGAGAAAAGAGAGATGGGAAAACCCCCAATTTTGTGGTTGTTCGTCTGACCCTCTTATAAAATATTTGTACTAGATCCTCTCCAATATTCAGGTATGTGTTTGATTTATATTTATTTAATGTTCTAAATACCCAACATAAAGTATTTGGATCTGACGTTATGCTTATGGGTTTGTCATGCTGTATTAGCTTTGATAATGGCTGATGCCTTTTCATTGGTTTAAGATTCATTTCCTCTCTTACTCTCTGTTTGTGCCTAGCTTCTTTGTCAACTACCTTCTGACAACGAACAAAAGAACTATAAAAAAACAAATTATTCATGATAGGATCCCTAATAAAGTGAATTGCATCTGAACATGACAATGGAAAAAAGTTCAAAGTTCATGCTTAATTTATTGTCACTTTGGAGGGGAAGAAATAAGTTTGGTGGATTGGTAACGATCAAAGCTCGCTAACCATTAGAAACCAATAAAGATTGTGGCCAAATTGCAAGTAACAAATGTCCAAAAACACCTCATAGAAGTAGTGGAGTGACAGTGCGCCCAATGGCTCTTCCCAGAAATTCCGTGGTCTCCCACTATCCTCTGTTCCTTGCTAGAACTTTGCCATTATTTTTTGTCTCTTCCGAAGTTCCCTGGTCATTTCCTGATTAAATTTGCACCGAAGGCCATCAATTGCATTTATAAACCCTTCACCCTGACAAAACTTCAATGTTTATGATGGATAAGTACCCTGAGTAATTTATACAGTAAGCTGCCCAACAATAAAAAGTTATTTGGCCAATCCTGCTAGTTCCTTTGGGCTGTTGAAAGTTCATAATGTTATAATTAACCCCGCAGATTGGATGTGATTCTGTCTCTTTCAAATTTACTTTAAAGTTCCAAAGCTGTCAAGTTAAGGGACGAAATTTTTTGTAAAGAGAGTGATAAAGAAGCTTGAATGGACTGGTCTCGTTCATTGACCGTGGCTTTTTGCGTCCCTGTAAATTATTAACTGGGCCATTTCCCATTTATTTGCCAAATCTCTATCCAATTTGATCTTTAGGATTCTCCAGCTTCATGGGTCCCAAAGAATCGAAGAGTTGGCTCAGCAGCTGCTTTTTCTCTTCCTAGGAGCTGCTGGTGATGTGATTAGGCATGGTTTATTGCCCATGTTACCATACCAAACACCAATAAAAAATCATCTCTTTCCGTGTATGAATAGTTGGACCACTCAAAATAAACATTTGATGTGGATTAGTAATAAGAATGCACCTACTGATAATGGTCGCATTTCTTTTCTCTTTTCTTTATACTTTTTGGATGTGTATTATCGACGGTAGGATTGAGGAAGCTCTAAAGAAGAATCCCACCGACGATATATTGTCTTTCCCTCCAGAACTTTCCCTCCTTTTAATACTCCTCCATATCTCAATTGCAAGGAGGCGTAAAAGAAGAAATACTACTTTGAGGATGGGAAACTGCCTGTTTGGAGGCTTGGGAGAAGCTGATGGTGTGATCAAAGTCATAACTTCAAGCGGTGGAGTCATGGAGTTTTCTGCTCCAATAACAGCAGGAAGCATCACGGATGAATTACCAGGGCACGCCATTTTTCGAAGCCATGATCTCTTCTGGAAACCACTCTTTCACCATGAAGAACTCCTCCCTGGAAAATCATACTATCTTCTTCCGCTTAACGGCAAAGACACTTCAGGTAATAGTGGCCAGATTGTCCGAGAAGGCCATGTCAGGTCGAACAGCATCCCAGCATCGCTCGTTGCTCCTTACAGGATGTCCTTTGATTATCAGGGGACTCTGAAGAGGTCCCATACTGATGTTTTCTCCAGGTACAACAACCCTGCAGGATTTTGGAAAGTGAAGCTAGTAATCAGCCCAGAACAGCTGTTGGAAATTTTATCGCAAGAAGCTCGTACTCAAGAATTGATTGAGAGTGTCAGGACAGTTGCCAAGTGCGGAAGTGGGGTCTCAACTTCTGTTGGATTTTCAGATCAATGGAGTCTGTCAAGCAGTAGGAACGCTTCCTCAAACAAAGATGGCTTGTTGTTAGACATCTAGAATTACAGCTTCTTACAAAATTTCCCCCCATTTTACTTTTCCTTGTTTTGACATTAGACAATGTAAACAATTGAAATAGCAGTCTGAACATGTCATTTGGTGTCTTGATTTGATCTTTTCCTTTGTTTTGGTTGGGGTTGATGTTGTCCCTGTTTAATGTTCAAATTTATAGGTTTCTGGACAGCACATCAATTCCTCATTTTCGCAAGTAAGCCATTTTGGTCCCAAGACGCAAGTAACGCGTTCAATATCCGTTTTCCTTGTTCAGCAAATGCTTAATATTAACCTGAATTCTAACGTTTCATGGGGTATCAAATATGAAATCAGTATTTCGATCAAATAAAGTTGTGGCCCTAAACTTGACCTGTTTCGCCCCTTACTCAAAGGTAATGATTTTACATTACATCATTTCTTATATATATATATATATATATATTGTTTTATTAGTAACTTTTTTTAAAAAATAATTTAATTTAAAGAGATATACCAATTACCACGTTGATTATCATCTTATCACTTTATTTAATTATTTCAGAAAATTTTATGACTTTTCGTTTTGTTCAAAAATTGAATACCTATGCTGCATGCAATTTAAGACTTCCAAATTTGAATTTGCAGGTTCATAGAAAGAAAATTACAAGAAAAAATGACAATAATATTTGCCTCCTTAGTAACTGAAAAAAGAGAGGCTATAACAGAAACTATAATGCAAAATAGACGCATGTGATGGCAGTTCTACATAGAATATATAAAACTGCAGATATTGAAATTTTTTTTGATTAACGAGAATAGTCATATTTATTAATATTAATAAAATTTATTAATTTTTTTTCTTAATTCTAATAGTATGATATAATTTATAGATTAATATTACAAAAATTTATTCATATATAACTGAAACGTTTTAATTATTTTTTATAGATAATTAATTTTACATTTAAAAACATATATATTTCTATGTATAATTATGATTTAAAACTAAATAAAATATATAAGTCTTAAAGCATTAAACTTGAAAGGGTTTTCCAAATAGACGGATGTTGGGCCAGGTTGAAGCTTGCCGTTAAGATGGAGGCTGGTATTCGGACAGTTTTGATTTTCACAAGTTTGGGCCGTCTGCTGAATAAGTTGGGAAAATTCAAAATACCCAACTTGTTTTGTCCTATTTAGTTAATGGGCTTAGGCCCGTATCAAGGTGCTTGAAATTCCTTTGAATATATATGGGGCTAGAATAAAACTCGAAACTCAAAGGACCACAGCATGGTCTGCCATGTACAGGCTCCGTTCCAACATCATTAATTGCAGTTGTCACTTTCCTAACCACTTTGGCAATACGGGGCGTCACATTGGGCAACAAAATTACCCGTAGCAATACCTGTGTTTTCCACCCGTAGAAGGTCTTGGTTCTGATTGAGTGATAATTAAAGTGATTGGGTGCAATTTGAACTTGACCAAAACATTATTGGTACATAATTTCTACACCTGCTTCCCATTACTCCATTTTATTGCAAACATTGAATGCCATTTAATTTAAACCCATCTTAGAAGTTCATGAATGGACCAACAGGGAATTGGCATATTAGTCGGTTCATCAAAACCCTTGAATTTTTCAGCGCAAATCATTGATACGTACTCTTTTTAAAATTACAAACAAATTAAGGAGAGCAATTGCTAGTCAAGCAATGCTATTTCATAAATGATGTGAAAACGTTATCATTATTGAGTTTGAGCTTATCCGTCTATGACTCGAAAATGACCGCCGTTGTCACGTCAAGCTCTTCAATTAGTTGGTTAATCGGGGTGAAAAATCACTAGGATTTATTTTAATTACAATGAATATGACACTGATGATATTTTTTTTCTTTTTTATTGAAGCTAACCACCAGGCTACCTTTCAACACAACCTTCACTTATCAAGGGACCATCAAAGTTTGCTTTCTTTTCTTTCTTCTTTTTCTTCTTCTTCTTTTTTTTTTTTTTTTTTTTTTCATTGTCTATGGTGGGGCAATGGGGGCGATCGACCAATTTGGAGAGGAAATCCAAAATTTTCAACAATGGCAGCGCTATCTGAACAAACTCTAATAGTTTCAAAATGGGAGCCACCGGATGAAGTTTCCCTTTCCTCGTTGAAATTAAAAAAAAAAAGGAAAACCTAAAGAATCGCCTAACGTTCAGAAAAGTTCTAACAAAGTTATCGAAATTAATTGAACACATGAAAAAGCATTTAGATTTCTCTACACCCTCTACGTTTCTTGTCTCTCATGGCAATCTTTCTTTCTTTCTTTTTATTACACAATATTTGGTCAATTCATGCATATATCAATATGTACGATATGAAAAGCCATGCATGTTCTAAATTGTCTTCATTCAAAAGTGAAATGATTTATTATTATTAGGCAAAGAAAAATATGGGAATATCTGGCCACCCTGAGGGCTCACTGGAAATGATTCACATCAAAGTAGGCTTGCTTACCTATATAAATATAAACATATATAGAAAGAGATAGAGTTATTATCTCTAATTAGAACTATGCACTATGCCTATATTATGCAGGTTAGCATCTCTAGCTAATTGCATTAACATTTGTAGCCAAGGTCCCTAAGCAATAATACACATGCACGTCATGCAAATTTGCTTGATCTTACATTATAACAAACATACCATCGCTAGCTAGCTCAAGCCTTCTAGAAATTTTAATTAGAAAAAGGCACTCCAAAATAAAAGTATCATGTTTTTAAAGTTAATTGTTTGCCACCTTTAACGTGTGCGCCCACCAACCCTTATTTCAACATCCTGTCGAGGTGCCAATTGATTATTACTTGCATTGAATATATCATATATGGTTAACTTCCACAATATCTTTCAACAAAGCAGAACTACCGAATCTTGTAGGCGAAAATTGAACGAGAGGTAAATGATTGCTTCAAGCAAATAGTTTTCCATCTTGACGGTCATCATAAGCTTATAACTGCACAAGTGATCAATGGTATTCCTTTGATGATATCTCCATTCTCAGCAAATTCAAGGGTGGGGTTTCTGGGTTTGAACCGACAGAGAAAAGGGGTGGAAAAGGAGCAATACACGCTTGCATGTTTGTAGCTATGAATGTATGTACAAATTGGCTCCAGAAAAAAGAAAAAATTAAAAATAGGATTGACAAATCAACTCAACTAAATTTCACATCCAAATATAAATGATGTCTAGTTTTGTTCCCTCTAATCCATACATCATACTTTCTATAAAGATGTTTAAAGATCATATCTTTCTTTCCTTCTTTTTAATTAATTACTTTCAGTTCATTTGATTTTTTTATTTGTACCTCCGCTTCTGCTATTGGGATTAAATCACTTCATCAATTATGAATATGCATCATTATTTTATTTGATCCTTGTCAAATTGAAGGTTTCATCATCTATTGCTGAAAAAGCTTCATTAATATCTCTCTTGACTTGTACAATTCAATTAATTGAGTTTCTCTCTTAACCATGAGGTCATTAAAAGCTAATTATGGTTGGGCTGTCCAATATAGAAAAATGATTGGAACTGATACTCCCCAAGAGGAAAAAGTATGAAGCTTTTCAATAAAAATAAATGTACTGAAAGTTGGAAGAATTCAATTGTGGTTTGTAATGTAAAAGCGAAGCTTAATTAAAGCTACTAGGCCCGGCCAGGATTGATGTACGAAGCCTCTTGACTTACAAAATTTTAATTAACAAGGTAAATAATATTATACGATACTTATTTGAATACAAAATAAACATCAATACATTATATATATATATATATATTTGATAAATCATCAGGCTTTTATATTTATTATTATTTTTATTTTACTCAACCAATCAAGATATAATTCTAAAAGAAAACCCTGCTGGTACACTGTTCCGTTATATCCAGCAACTAACGAGGGCCCCTTGGGGTACCCCAGTAACAGTAAATAAGGCTTAAGCACCCATAAAACGATACAATTAACGGACAGGAACCAAAACCCACAACAGATACCGCCTGAAACAAAGCATCTATCCTCTACGCAGGAGATCATAAACATAAAAGCATTAAGACCAAAGTATCAAGCTGTTACCACCAAGCAGAAAACATGGAGTTTTTATATTCATGTCTGTGAGATATGTGTTGAATACAAGTATTTCAAGAAAAATAAAAAGTTGAAACAACAGAGTTGAGATCGCTGCAATATATGTTGTAGCTGAATATGAGGCATGTCCCATATCTTTATGCATAAACGTGTTTGTCCAAATAAGTCGGAGATTGGAATTTGTCCACAGGGTATGTTGCCGGTTCCTACATCACGTCAATAAACGTACGTTTCCAATTATGCAAACATGACCGAAATTTCGGTAATAACCCTGTCGGATTAGTCTTTGCCAACTCCTTTCACTGAGTATTTTCCCGAATTGGTTAATTGATAATCTTGCATCGCCTTCATAGGAAACTTCAACGTTCTCGTTCACATTGCTTAAAATTTATAGTAACCTGTCAGAGTCTAATTTGTCATTGGAGTAATGGATTACTTACAACTTCACTTATACACTAATGTTAAGGCGGCAATCACAAATTGTAATAAGTATATCTAATTGATCATGTTTATTCATGTAGTATTTCACAAGTTGCTTTTCCGTATGTGTGAAATACATAAATGAAAAGGATTTACTACACGCATGGCACATGGATGTGATTGCTTAAACTCAACGAGTCTTCATCAATTAGAGAACAGAGAGTTTCTCCAAAGTTTTGCAAAAGGTATTATGTGCAATTTTACAAGATTAGAACCTTTCCACATATACAAAAGCCAGTTTAACATATTAATATGTCATCCCCTGTCAATAACATAACTCCTACCGGGCATTCACTGGTTTATTACACAAAAGGGATAGGAACAAGTAATATGGCATCACAGATATTCTCTTACCCTTGCGACAAACTGATGAAGAGATTGCCAACTGTTTTATGTTCATGCTCAGTCAGGAAAATACAGGGGAGCCTTATGAACAGTTATCAATTTCTTTGAACATTCCGTGATGATGACTGAAGTGATGTCCATCAATATTCTTTCATGGTAGAAAAATAATATTGTATTTCAAGAGCGCGATAGGCGGAAGGAAAAGAGAGAAAGCAAAAGGTAAGATTTTGACATTCTTCTGGGTTCCACTAGATTTTGAGAACAACTCCAGGCCATTGTCTCCAGCCAT